GGTTCCGAGGCTTTTGGTCTGGTTTGCAGAGGCGGGGGGGGGTCCTTCAGCTTTTAAGTTCCAGGTACAAAGAAGGAGCAAAAGAACGCCATTCTTCAAAGGCTTTCTCCCAGGGAGCTAGAAAGCCTTGGAGAATTCCCTGCTTTTCCCCAAGGAGTTCCAGCACGACCGATCCACAGCCCCGTGCCTCTGCCACCTCATCGTCCCCCTCCCGCCTGCTCCGGGGTGACGATGCTCTGTCCCCGAGCTCCTGCGCTCCCTCTCCTTCTTTGTCTGTGTTCACAAACACTTGTGTCTGGAATTGCCACTCTGATTCCTGCAAATGGCTCCTTTTACGTGTAAATATTCAGCGCAAAGGTGTGTCTGCAGCCCAGGCTCTGCGTGTGGGTGCTGCCGGGAACCGTGGGATCGTGGTGCCCGTGCTCGGGGGCTGACTGCACACCATCAACCCTCGGGTTTTTTTAAGGGAAAAGAGATTTTTTTTTTTTTTTTTTTTTACCTACAAAAGAAAAAGACGAAGTACTGACTCGTTTCCATATGAGGAATGTGCTACCTGCTCACAAAATGATTTGTGAGCAGGAAAACTTGTGGTGCTTGGGAACTGACTGGCTCATGGCGGGGGTATTTGTTCAGTTCTGTTTCCAGCTGGAGCTCGGGGTGCTGCGAGGGGAAAAGCAAGTCCAGAGGGAACATGCAAAATGCTGCCCATCTTACAAGTCTGTTTTCTTCTCTCCTTAGATACATTATAGGTAAATCCTCTTCCTCAGCGGCGTCGAATCCCTGGATATTGCAGCTTTTGTTGCAATGTCTCTTCCAAAAGTGGGAGCGCGCTACGGCTTAGGTGGCATTTTAAAGAGGTATCAGTTAATCCTTTTAGGAGACTACATGGGACAAAGCAATCTCTCCAGGCACTGTGCTGTCTCCAGCCACCCTGAAAGCATCCCAGCCCCCCGGTCCCTCTCCATCGGGCACCGCTGCAGATCCAGAGGCACCCAAAAAAAGGCTGCAGGAGGCCTGTGTCGTGCTGCCCTGCGAGGTTTGCTTCCGTGACATTGCGGGTCCAGAGGTGACAGCCCCGAGCCCCCGGGTTGTGCTCCTGGCAGCAGGTCGGGTGCTCCCGCAGCTCTGCCCCGCGCGGGGCAGCTTCGGCTGATGGGCGATGAAAGGGGCTCCGCAGAGGTGAGGGATTGCCGCTGTCTTTCAGGAAGAGCCTTCAGTGAACTAACCTAACCTTCATTTGAATGTCTCCAATGTAAATTATAAGACAGATATATACATAAAGAAGCATCTGCATGTGGGTGTGAGCCAGAGGCGACGGCTCCTGCCATCCCTTTAAAAGCCCTTTTTCACCCGGGAGGTGCTGCAGAGTTCAGCTGCTTCCATTTCCTGGTGTTTCAGCAGAGAGGTATTTATTGATGGTCCCGGGAAGGAGGTCAGTGCCATCAGCCATACTTCAAACCCGCGGTCTGTAATTATCCTCTCTTCCCACAGGGCACTATACAGGTATTTTCTTTATCTTGAATGCAAACCTGAACCGAGTCCCCATGTCAAAGAGCCTCTCGAGGAAACGCCGTAATCGGGCTCGGAGGCCTTTTCAAATGGAAGGATGGAAAGAATCTTGTTTTTTATCTCTGGGCTTTCCAGATTGCTGAGTCCTGATAGGGAAATGGATCTCGGACCCTCGGAAGAAGAGGGGGAGCAGGGCTACAACTCGGCAGCCTCAAACTATTCCCATGAGAAAGCTGATCGGGAGAGGTCCCATGCCTATGCAAAGCTCCCATACTT